TTTCACCTGGACAAGGGCACAGATATCCAAGATGAGGCTACGTGAGAGCCTGAATCTGCTCCTGAGTCCTTCATCGTCGTACTCTTCCAAGGGGTTGTTTCGGTCGCGAAGTACTCTTTCCCGACGAAGTTGCCTTCGAATTAGGTGAAGCCTTGCAGCCATGGTCGTGTAAACACGGAGAGCAGTAAGTCACAAGTGGCAGAAAGAATGCACGTGCAACGCTTGGGGCATGTTATCAAGAATGCACACAGGTGAGTTTCCGTAGCCCACAGAGAGGTTAAAGTCGAGATAGAGAGACCTCCAAAGGTGATTTATTTTTTCTTTATTTTGAGTCAAGATAAAGTCGAAATATAGCCGAAATAGAGTTAAAGAAGAAATAAAGTCGAAATAAAGATGAAGAAAAGTTAAAGAAGTTTCGTGAAAAAGGCCTCGGAAGGCAGAGGAGACCGTCCGATGACCGATGCAAGAGGCATGGTAAAGAGGAAGAGGAAAGGATGGAGTTTCTACCGTCGAAGCGGAGTCATCACTTGGCATGCAAAGGATTTGCTTCGTCCTGGATGCACACTGTTCACGTCGTCGCGGCGGCCAGCTGTTCAATACCGTTGGGAATGGAGCTGGGCGTTGATGACGCAGGGAGGCTTCTCTGCTTGGGTCTCCAGTCTCGGAGGTTTCATTATAAGGAACGGTATTGCCTTTTTATGAGTTCCTTTGGGACTTTCGAGCAATAGCTCGTCACTAGAGATAAATTGGGGACCGATGGAGCATGTCTCTTTCTGGGGCGTGCAAAGGCATTGATGGGGGTAACACAGGGTCATCAATAGGCGGGGTAGTGCCCATTACCTTTCTTCAACCCCTTTCCCGCGACAAAATCCAACCGTCTCATATTCCTCTCGAAAAGCATCAACAGAAACGAAATTTGGCAAACTTCTTCCTCTCTCAACACCGAATCGCTCATCAAATTTTAAGCTCCATCTCTCCGGGGTTGTGGAGATCCCTGAATCTCGCTCTTCAAAGATGTGAATTTCATTCCGGTATTATTTTTCCTCCCCCCTGGGAAGTTTTCTGAGGAAAGAGACCGAAGAAACGAAAGATTTTGACTTGTAGGTGACGAAAAGTGGCCTTTTTGTTGTTTGCTGTGCACCATTTCACCATTTAAAAAAGGAATTCGCTGTCGATCATTTAGGTTTAACTTGCTGGTTCCTGTCCCGTCCTCCAGTGTTGCCGGATGTCGTGCCGGAGTTTTGCCAGATTCATGAATTCTTCGGCCTTAGTCTTGAATTGTCTGGATCTTTTGTTTTTCAATGTATGAGATAATTTTGTGCCGAGTTCATCGGATGAGCTGAGATTGAAATGATGGCTTGCAGTGGCCGATCGATTTGGTGGAATACGGAGATATCTCTTTCGGACATCCCTTAATTAACAGGATGGCGCCCACGTTGTATTACATGCTTCTTAGAGGCATTCTCTCCTCAGAAATCGTGGAGACTGTTCGAGGAACTCTAGATAGGCCTAACGTTCCTCATCCGCACCGAAATGGTTCATGTAACTCGAAATAGACCTCTAATCGGTCTAACGTTACATGTACTCTCTTAAAAGGGCCATGAGAGACTGAATAGGCCTGCGATTGGCCTAACGTTACACGCCCTCGACGAGATGTCTCGAAGAGCGGGGATCAATCCTAATAGGTTTCATTGGCCCAATAAATCGAGGATTGAGTTTCTTTTGAACGAAAAAGGGTAGGTCTAGGCCTAATGTTAGTGAGTTCCGTAAAGAAGGGGGGGGGGAGGATGAGGTTGAGGTTGAGATTGGAGTTGAGGTTGAAGAAAGGGAAAGCTTTGGAAAAATTGGTTTTCACATTACTACGTTGTCCTTTTCGGGAGACTGAAACACCGAACTAGTATTGAAAATGCTGGAAAAACGACAATTCAATCGAAAAACACAAATGTCCCCCCCCGTCATTCTGTTCTCACGCGCAAAAGAGATTTCTGAAACCCTGCTTTGGGTTCTGCCCGTGGCATATCATTCTGAAAGAGGTGATAATTGTGCAATTATGGATCAGAAATGATCTATAATTGCACATTGTTTTTTTACGCATCCTTTTCTTTTCCCCCACGTCATTGTTTTCTCCCAACCTCATCGTCCATCTCTCTCCTACCCTTGGGTGTGTCATGAAGGACGAGACCCCGGCGAGAGAGTGAAATCGTCAGTCGAGGCGAGGCGAGAGACTCAAAGAGCCACGGGCAGGGTTCCGCCTATTCGAAATGGTGAGGACGTGGAGTGACTTGGCCATTTACGCTCATTTTGGCGTCGGGGTCTACTGGGGCTTGTTGAGCCTCTGGTGGCTGGGGAAAGTCCTGCAGCGATGGAGGAAGGTTGGACCGAACAAATTTCACGTCTCCCCTTTCTACTGTGCGGGTAAATCCGATTTTCCCCTGGAACCTGTCCTCAAAATCGCCATGGGAACGATATATGGTTGGGGTGAGTGTCTTCCGTCTTTATCACCACGAAATTACCTTGCTCCATCGCATTTAAAGGTAATTTGGCGTAGCAGGGGTGGTGCGTGCACGCGATGAAGCCTAAGGGAAATCAAAAAGTGGGAACATAGAATAAATCGAAGCTAGACACACCTTGATTCTTATATGACGCGCCCTTCGTAGAGTTACATGTCCGTGATTTTGCCTGAGGGAGACATTTCCGCTTTGTCAACTTTCTGCAGTGAATCCACCACACCTTTACACTTTCTATCGTCAGAAATTGAATAACCCGCGTCGTAGTTGTAGTGCACGAGTGCATGGGACCCGCCATTTTTGTTAACATGCGCGCCTGCTACCAGCAGCAGCGAGAAACAATGGACGGGTTCCTTCCGCCTGCTGTTGCCAGTTGCGAGTTCCGCTCTCACGGAAGGAATGCACCAGAGTTTACGAGAGTCTTTATATTGAATCACCCGGGTATGACCTGATCGGGGCTGAATCCATCAATTCGATATCGAGAATCTGCTTCCCCCGATTGATTCTTCCATGTCGGGATATAGAAAAGAGTCAGATGGTCTCAGGCATGCAACCGTACGGGGAATGTGGTAAGAGTAGACTCCATTCGATAGAGACTTAGGCCCGAATGCTGAAACCGCCTTTAGTTAACGGCCCTTTAAGAATACATGGGGGAAAGAGTTTATTATCTTAAAAGCCCCTTTATATCGCCTAAATGAGGTTTGTGCATTCGGGCCTTACGCTTCAGCCAAATATGCGGCCTACAATCCCAGAGAAGCGCACAGAACTTCAGAATCAAGAGAAATTCTGCTTGATGGCAATCGAAACGACCCGACTGTAAACGAAGGGTTCCACGACTCGACAGAGTCGTGGAAGTGGCATATCCTAGACCTTTGTGATTGTCATCTTTTCACCTCTGGTATGTGAGATTCGGGGAAACCAGAGTTCGCGACATCGAAGTGATCGATTCAGCCGCGGTCAGATCGTAGAAGGACCTGCATACATTCTTAGAAAATTCCGAGCGTTTGGGGTGTAAAAAGTGAGCACACCGTGAGCTTT